TAATTTAGAGTACCACTAGAAAATTAATTGTTGAAGGCCATAAGGCCTAGAAATCATAAAGTTTCAGGCACCTCCTGGAGCTGAGAACTCTCTCTTGTTGACCGATGATCTTGATAGGATACTCTGAGTAGGTCGTATATGATAGCACTGAGATTCGTTAATGGAGAATGATGTGGAAGGATCATGATGATACTTCCGGAGCATCGAGACATGGAATACGTCATGAAGACCAGTGACCTCAGGTAGTGAGGCAAGAAGTTAAGTTACAGGACCAACACTTTCCAACACTTTGAAGGGTCCCATGAAGTGAGAACTAATTTACCTCTCTTCCCAAATCGCATGTTTTCTTTGGGTGGAAAGACCTTGAGGAAGACATGGTCAGTCATAGCAAATTCTAAATCCTTCCTTTGATTATTGGTGTAACTCTTTTGTCAGCTCTGAGTAATAAGGAGATTCTTGCGGATGACGGCACTTTTATCCACAGTGTCTTAAATAAGGTTTGGTCCAGAGGAATGTTTCCAACTTCATTCTAACATGTTAGAGATCGGCAGGACCTACCATAAAGGACTTTATAAGGGGTCATCTCAATAATGGAGTGAAAACTATTGTTGTAAGCGAATTCCGCCAGTGGTAAATATATGTCCCAACTACCTTTAAAATCCAACACACAAACCCTTAACATATCCTCCAGATTCTGAATAATTCTCTCAAACTGACCATCTGTTTGTGGATGATAAGTAGTTTTGAAGGAGAGATTTGGTGCCAAAAACTTCTTGGAAGCGTGTCCAAAATTGAGAAGTGAAACAAGGGTCTCTATCAGAAACCATATATACTGGAATACCATGGAGTCTGACAATCTCTTAAACATATAACCTAGTCAATGTGCTGACAGAATCAATGGATTTTACTACTAAAATGTGGGTAGACTCAGTCAGTCTGTCAGCTATAACCCATATAACATTTTTGAACTAAGCTAGTCATTGATAATCCCATGACGAAGTCCATGGTCACATGTTTTCATTTTTATTCTAGAATTGGGAGGCACTATTGGAGACCATTGAGCCTTTGGTGTTCCACTTTAACTAGTTGACAAGTTAGATACTTGGAAATAAAGTCAACTATGTTGCGCTTCATACCTGGCCACTAGAAGCAAAGCCTCAGATCTCACTAAATTTCAGTGCTTTTGGGGTGGATGGTCAACTTGGAGGTATGAGGTTTCTTCAGAATGTCTAATTTGAGTTCGAGGTCATTGGGCAACCACAAACGATCTCCAAACCTGAGAGTTTCGTCATCGAACATTCTAAAATCTTACTAATCTCCCTGTTCCAATTTGTTCTTATGTCTTTCTACACTAGGATCTGTGGATTGAGCTTCCCTGATTCTCTAAATGAGAGTGGGTTACCCTCACCACGATGATTCAGTCAAAGATTTTGAACTATTTCAAGTATTTTCTATCTTGAAATCATCATATGTGCCAAAAGGGAGGAGTTCTTCCTGCTAAAGGCGTCGACAACAAAATTACCCTTTCCAGGCTTATATAGGATCTTGTAGTCATAATCCTTTAAGAGATCCATTCAGCATCTCTGTCTCATATTGAGTTTCTTCGAGTGAACATGTACTTCAAACTTTTGTGATCGGTATAAATTTTAAAAGTTTCACCTTCTAAATAATATCGCCAGATTTTGAGAGTAAAAACAATGGTTGCCAACGCGAGATCATGAATGGGGTACTTTTATTCATGGAACTTCAACTACCTTGAACCATAGGCTACAACCCTACCATACTGCATAAACACACATCAAAAACTAAAGTTCGATGCATTACAATAAACTTAAAATCCACAGGTACTATCGAGAATTATCAATACCGGAGCAAAAGTTAAACAGAGCTTGAGTTAAAGATAGCTTTCTTCGCATATCGAGTCCCAAAGAAATATAGCTCACTTTTTGGTGAGTTGGGTTAATAGGCTAACAATGTTGGAGAAACCTTCACAAATCAAAAGTAATACTTTGCTAAACCCAGGAAGTTATGGACTTCAAAAGCATCAGTTTGTTCACTTCTAATTTATCACAGCCTCAATCTTTGAGGGGTCTACATAAACACCATCACCGGAAATAATGTAACTAAGGAAGGAGATTCAATATAAGCAGAAGGTGCATTTACTAAGTTTAGCATATAATCTATATTGTCAGAGTATCTCCAAAACATATGCTAGATGGGTAGCATGTTCTGTAGGATTCTTGGAATGCACGAGTATATCATCGATGAAGACAATGGTATAATTATCCAGCACGAGTTTGACAATTTTGTTCATTAGTTCTATAAAAACTGCAAGAGCATTAGTCAGTATGAAAAGCATAACCCAGAATTTATAATGGCCATACCTAGTTCATAATGTCATCTTGGGAATGTCCTCAACTCTGACCTACAACTGATAATAACTAAAACAGAGGTCGATCTTGGAAAAGAGAGTTGTGCCCTGAAGCTGGTCAAATAAGTCATCAATATGGGGCAATGGATACTTGTTCGTTATAGTCACCTGTTTCAGTTCCTTATAGTTAATGCACAACTTGAGGGCCTCATCCTTCTTCTTAACAAATAGCACCGGAGCACCCCACACACGGAACTATTGGATCTGATCAACCTATTGGTCAATAGTGCGAATAATTGACAGTTCAACTCTTTAAGTTCTGTACGACCCATACAATAGGGAGCCTTAGAGATCAGAAATGTCCCTAACAATAGGTTAATGGAGAACTCAATTTACCATTTGGGTGGCATATCCGAAAGTTCTTCAGAAAAAATATTTAAATAGTCATAAACAATCGGTATTGATTGTATGAAGTTTTTAGAATCCATGATTTCCTATATGCAGAAAAGATATTATGAAAAACAACAATTTTTATTTAAAGATTTAATGCACATAGTAAAATAAAATCCAAAAATGATTACCATTCAATACCTATTTTAATTACAAATAAAGTTTATACACACGTCAACGAAAGAGATCCTCTAGGAAGGTGAAGAGTCATAGTTTTGTTGTAATAGTCTATGATAGCACAATAAGCTTCCAGCCAATCTATACCTAAATCACGTTGAAGCCCCAAAAGTCTAGAAGTATGAGATCTATAGCTAACTCTTTACTTGAGATGCTCACTTTGCAACACTTGTATACAACATGGACTTCCAAGGTTGATTTGGAAAGGGTTTCGACAATTAAAATTTTCCCTATGTGTCTTGGTTTTGCCAATAAGTTTCTAATAAATTTATAAGA